TGTTTTTTTTTTTTTTTTTTTTTTTTGCTTCTGCTGTTACATAAGCTCCAAGTCTCATGTCTCTCCCAAGTTAATTGTTTGGAAATGTTTTTGTATTGACCAGTAACACACACTGGTTATTTTTTGTTATTAGGAAAAAAAAACATTCATCAAATTCTGTAAATATTTTTCCAAGTTATTTCTGTGCATTTCAGTAGTGCCTTTGTGTTTATTTTGTATATGTCGGCCCAATCCGGCCCATTTATGGTTATATTTGAATTAAATGTTTGGGTTTTATTATAGTCGAATGGGTTACCTCCTATTAGAATTATGGGTTAAAACCATTAGAATTATGTATTAAATAAATAAAACCGTTAAATTTGTTAGAATGTGTTCTATTCATCATCGTTTTCTATTTCTCATCAAATCAATTTTCCTCATAAATTACCGACGATTTTGTTTCATATACATACTTATTTGCACGAAAATTATAACGTATATATATATATATTGTTGATCACAACCGATATTTTATTCCAACTCGCTACACCAACGTACCATCATACAGTATCATACATACATACATACATACATTTACATACATACATATATGCTTTTAATAACAATACGTATAATAATTTTAATAACCTCAAGATATCCAACGATTAAGGAGGCTACATTAATCTTCGTCCGCCACATCCACTTTCCCTTTGGCAATTGAAGTAGACAGCGGCAACAGGCAGGCCAAGGTTGTAGAGCTCAGCGAACTCTCTCGTGTTGAAGTGCTGTCTCCAGCCAGGCGCATACAGCGTTTGCCTCCCGAGCTGCTGTCGGAACAGTACCACCACGAACCGGTGGATCCCCGACGTCGGCCGTGGATTCTCGTAGCACACGACCTCGTTCCCTGGAAATTCCGTCCCGACCCGAATTTTCTATCGTTTCAATCATATATTAATGATATTCGATCATATCTAATTTTTTTATATCGATTAATTATATGGTTAAAATATTTTTGTTGTTAACTTAGAACTCACCAAAGCTTGCTCCGGTTGTGGCAGGAATATCAGTCACCAACCTATGTACAAGTCGTAGTACCACATAAACGTACATTAGAGTAATAATATATATATATATATATATATATATATATATATATATATATTGTTAGTTGATTTGTGATGATATCAAAATCTATAAAAAAAAAATTAATCTTAATGCGTTACTTAAATTAGATACTATATATTTATAAAATATTATTCGCCCTTTGCAAGATTTGAATAAACACGCGTGCAGAAGAGCACAAATTCTTTTAGCCCTTCTTCTATGGCCATTGTTTATTTGCTTAATTTGTTCAATCTTATTAAGTGCTTAACATAAAAGCTGGTTTGACTTTTATAACCTTATTCTATGCATGGTCATGGTTTTTTTTTTTGTATAGTTACGCTATATACATACATATATATATATATATATATATCATGCAATAATCTGAAGCATTTTTCTAAATTTCTTATAAAATCTCGTTATCAATGCACTCTAAAACTCCTCCATGCTGCATTCCAAGTTTTAGTAGTCATCTAAGATTCTCAATATGCACATGGTGTAGCACTTCGAATGGCTCATGTTTGTGTGTGTGTGTATATATATTGTTTTGCTCTTAAAGGGTTATTCAGCATTTTGACAAGGTGCAAATTACGCAAATTAAAGTCCCTCTAGGGTTTCCTATTGATTCCCCGCACTCTCATAAAACCTTTTCTTCTGTCATATATGGATTAGATTAAATTATAATCGCATTCTGACGAAAGAAATGTAAACAATTACTATAGATAGAAGCGAAAGAGAGATCTCTATATATATATGTGTGTGTGTGTGTGTGTGTGTGTGCGAGGGAGAAAGAAAGCTTTATTACACGCACCAGTGGAGATATTCTCGGAGATGGGGATTGCTTGGACTCGGTGCATCAGGATCCACCATCACCTTTATATATAGAAATTAACAGCGAAAACACGATTACCAATAGAGGAAGAATTCGAGTTCAAAGCTTGCATGCTTACCCAAAACAAAACCCTAGTTCGATCAACTATCTAACAAACCCTAAAACTCTTAAACTCCATCAACTATCTAACAAACCCTAAACTCTTATGTAGATTAAAGCCTTATGAAACCTTGTAGCACGGGCTGTAAGGAATCAGTTTGGCTGCGAATCATCTGAACTTATATATATATATATATATATATAGAGAGAGAGAGAGAGAGAGAGATTGAAGGGTACGTCAGTGTACGAACCAAGGTGTACAAAGTCCTAAGGTCGTCTCCACCAATCTCAACCCTAGGTTTGTGGGAAACATGAGAAGGCCTAAGATCACAGCCATTGGTGACCTCTCTTTGGTTGTATATAACCCTAAGTGGAATGGACCTTGTGAATGGCTCAAGAACATCTCCCACAACTCTCCCAATCACAAGGGGGTCTCTCGCCGCCATTCTTTTGATCAGTGAACTATCTCAATGCATACACTATAATTGCTATATATATAATCTCTGTATGAACCCATGAAGCTGAGTCGTCTTGCTATTTATAGAGTTTGTGTATGTGTGTGTATTTTTTTAAAAAAAAAAATTGTGTGTGCGTGAATCATCACTAGCTAGAATCTTCTTTATCTGTCTGTGTTCACTTTGCTCTTGTCGAAAACGTTGTCTGTGATGTACGAGAATCTCTGCATCTTTATCGAATCCCACATGTGATGCCAGCTTTATAACCTAGGGATGGGACGTGATGGTTAGTGACGGTCCAAAACAAATTTAACTTGAATTTTAATGTTAGACCAAAAAGATAATTTTATTTAAATAGTGACATTCCAATGCATCGTCCACTCATGTTGGTTTATATATATGCACATATGCATTAAGTCAGAAGCTTCTAACTATTTATAGATTCAATTTCGATTTAACCGAACACCTTTTCTCTATCAGCGGTACGGAATAGGCAATCAAATTCGAAATTGACTACTTTTGACAGGCCACCGAGATGCCGAGTTGTATATATATATATATATAGATATATTGCATGAAGCGAAATAAAAATGAATTCTCAAATTAAAAAACGAAATAAAAATGAGTGCTCAAAATAAAAAAACAAGTTAAATAATATATAATTTTATCCAAACCAAATCCGATCTAAAACCCGATTGATTATATATGAATATTTTAAAATCAAACTAATCAAGTATGAAAATAAAACGAATGCGAATCGGATTGAGAATCAAGAAAAAAAAAGTGAATGGATATAATATACATATATGTAATGTTTTTATAAGTTATAGATAAATATTAAAAAATGAAAATGAAAGCAATATGAATGACTCAATACATCTAATATATGGAGAGGGGTGAGAATAGTCAAATATAGACCAGAACAGAGCGGACATGCAATGAAAGAACAACAGAAATGGCAAATATGGTGAAAGTGGAGGGCAAAAACAAAGAAGCCAAGTGGAGAATGTCCCCTCGGGGTGTGTGGTCCGAGAAAGGGAAAGATCGAAATTCGATTAAATATGGGAATTATCTCTTGCGATTGGCCCCAAAGTTTTTTTTTTAAAAAAAAAGAAAGGGTCGTTTGTTTTATCATCAAAGAATAAGAATTCGTTCGGTGATATATTAAAAAAAAAAAAAAGATTAAGAATTCAAATGTTTTGATTTTGTGGTTGATGGCGCGATTCGCGAAAAAAAAAAGAATGAATGAAAGCAAATAGACCCATCTCTTATCATGGTATTGATGTTCGGTTCGTCCACGGTTCAAGCTGTATACACGACTAGAAATATAAATATATGCAACGATGACGCCAAGGAACTACAGAAAACGAATCAGTTCATGGACCAAACATAACAGTTCAAACACAACACAAATGTGTGAATTGATGTGCAACGCATGCGTTAAATGGCATCAAATGCAATGCATGCGTAAAAAACAACACCACCCAATTTGGCACGAGTAGGTGTCCCACATCGGAAATCGGAATCAAGGGAAGCAGATGAGGTGGCGGATAAAAGACGCTGGGCACGGCGGTTGTATTCATCTTTGCGCTTGGGGCAATGACGCAGCTAGTGAGGTACTAACCGAGGCGCGTCTATTGCTGGTTGAAAACTATTTCCAAAACCCCCTCCTAGGCCTGGGCTCTGTCCCCGGCCTTCGAGAATTTCTGGAAGGGCCCCCTCCGGGGTGTAAAGCCCTACAATTCTTGATCTAAATTTTAATGTTCGTGTTTATTATTTTTTTCTCTTTTCAGATGCAAATACTGAAATTTGTTGGAGTTTCAGACTCAAGAGGAAGAATCATGCATATCATCTAGGGTGGACCCGGTGCGGGTGCTGAGGATAATCGGAATTTTCGGATATCCAATTTCATGGGTAATCGGAATACCCGGTAAATCTTTTGTTTCCCATAAAATAATATCACAAAAAAATTACAAGATCTCGAAAAACTTAAAAGCAGAGAGCGATCCAATCGGCCCAATAAGCTCATTCAATTCATTACAAAATGCGATATGGCCTTGGGGAGGTGGGGACAATCTTTCTCAACCAATAAATTGTATTTTTTTTATTTATATAAATAAAACTATTTTCAAAATTTCTTGACTCAAAATGTACAACAGTCAAAGCTTACGTCGCAATCGAGTCAACGGAGAAAAGTCTATGCGACTTCGCTAGAACCGCGTCCAACACACTACCGTCTAATTCCGAAAATTTAATGGTTGAAATCGAAAGGTAGTATGACTAATGATCGTTTCACTTTCCATACACACACACACATATATATATATATGTATATAGAAAGAACAAGGCCTTGCATGTAAACGTTGAAGCCCTAACTAATGGCGACGAAGAGATCAAACGTTGTTGTTCTCCTACCTTTGCTTCTCCTCGTTCTATGCCTTTCCTCTCCTCTCGGAGTTGTGGAAGCGAAACACCGCAAACTCGGTCAGTACCTTGTGTGTGTGTGTGTATATATATATATACACGGTTCCTCGCCTCTCTTTTTTAATCCTAATAAAATATCAACCAATATGTGGTGTGTGATTTTTACTTCTTGATAGGTTTGAAAACGTCCTGAATAATCAAAAATGGCGAAAAGGGCATGTTTTTAACGATAACGGTTGTTGACAAGATTCCCGTACGAGTAGCCTTATGTTAGATGCGAGAAGGTAGAGGGTTTAGGGTTTACGGCCTAAACCCTAAACCCTAATATATTCATTGGTTTAGGCTAAACCCACGAAAGGAAGGATCAAACCTTGTTTTTTTTTTCTTTTTTCTTTTTTCTTTGAATCGCCTACACATTTGTATGACCATGGGCGGATCTACTTCTTCTGTAGTGGGGTGACCCCACTGATTAATTTAAAAAAAAAATCACTTCTTTATCTTTTCTATAAAATTTATAATAAAAATATCAAATACCCACATAATTAAATTAAGTTTGCCACTGTTAAATTTTTTAAAATCCCTCAATTGTAATTTTTTTTAACCGCCACTGGGTATGACCAAACCAAATCATAAGGTCTCTATGTGTTTGATTTCTCTCTAATGTTTTCCTACGTGTGTACTGCGTACCTCCTCTCACCTCTCATACGTAATATGTTATACACCAGCAGGGATTATCGGGACACCAGCCTCCAAATCAGGACACGGCGGAGGGAAAAACCCCTCAGTTGTGGCCGAGAAGAGACAATCACCGTTCGGTCGAACCGCAGTTCCTTGATTACTCCATGGAAGAATCACTCCACAAATAAATAAAGTGTATCATGTCTAAGAATCAATTATGATCAATCCACTAGTTCTTGTTCTTGTTTTTGTTGTTTTTAGTCCTACGTGGACCGTTGTTTGTGTATGTTCAATCATTTTCTCCATTTGTGTTTAAATGAATAAATAGCATTATCTATCGTGTTTATCTACATATGGTTTGCTTTTTTGGCGCATATTTGTGTAAGTATTTAGTAGGAATGGTATTTAATTTTGTGAAACACTTTTTTTTTAATTGGAAATTACTGGAAATAGAAAATAAAAAATTTGTAGACTTTAGAATTGTAAATTCTGTAATTCCCTAAACTTTTCCCTTACACATGTCCCCCCTACATTCTATTTCAACTACAATTTATTTTTCACTCAACAAATTATTTTAATTCAAACTCTTTATTATCTAAATTGCTTAGAGTGATGGAGTCTGATATTGAAGCTTATGTCTCAACCGGTAAATGGCCAAAAAAACGTTTACTATCTATTGCAGCTTGAATTCAAGGGCTAAAATTGAAAGGTAGGTGGTGACTTATTGGGAAATATGAAGAGTTCACTTCCTTCTCTACATATATCCGTAGACATATATGTATATGTATGTATGTTGTGTATATATATATGTATATCTATTTTTGTGTATGTGTATGCATGTATACGTATATGTGTAATTTAATTTTTTACCGGGCTGTTTAGTAGGATTGGTGCTGCTAATCTTGTAATCTCATAGTTATATGTCACTTTTATTTCGTTAACCACAATGTATATAAATGTCGGTCTCATCAATTATAGATGTAGAAATTAATCATTTTCAAATTCGTTCACTTATGAAGTTGTATAACACGTTTTTTTATATACATATATTCATATTTAAGGTTCAACGGTCAATAAATTGGAGTTTAACAACCTAATTACATACATGCACTATATATTTAATAACGCACGATTTTACTATTTTAAGATCAAATATCAAAACCACCATCAAATTTATAAATAATCAATGCTATCAATTTTATAGAAATAGATAAAATTACTATATATATATATATGTATAGTAATAATGGGTAATCTGAAGAACACATTAGCAAGTGAGACAATGTGTACGTTGGAGAAGCGAGGTAGAGTTTTCATACTGAAGCTCACCGGCGACGGAGACGAGCATCGCCTCAGCCCCGCCGTGATAGATGAAATCAACTCTACCGTCCGCCGTGTCCGGTCCGACCCGTCCGCTTCGCGGTCGGTCCTCGTCACCACGGCCGAAGGCAAGTTCTTCTCCAACGGCTACGACTTCTCCGCCGGTCGCTCCGATCTCTCTCTCCTCCACCTCATGCACGCAAAGCTTCGTGCCCTCTTCGCCAACCTCATAACCCTCCCTCTTCCGACGATCGCCGCCGTCACCGGCCACGCCTCCGCCGCCGCATTCTGTCTGGTGATGTGTCACGACTACGTCCTTATGCGTCGCGACAGGGGTTTCCTCTACATGACCGAGCTCGACCTCGACCTCGAGATTCCGGCGTGGGCCATGTCCTTGATCCGGCTGAAAATAGGATCGCCGGCGGCGAGAAGGGCAGTGGTGATGACATCGGCGAAGTTGACGGCAGTTGAGGCGGCCGAGAAGGGGATCGTGGGCGGGGCGTACGATGGCGCGGCGGGGGCGGGGGGAGGGATCGTGGACGGGGCGAACGATGGCGCGGCGGAGACGGTGGAAGCCGCCGTTAGGTTGGGTGAGGATCTGGTGAGTCGGGGGTTTGATGGACACGTGTATGGTCGGATGAGGGAGATTCTTCTAAAAGAGGTTCTCGATGAGATTGTCTCTTGTGATACTTCATCAGCTTGTGTACGGAACAATGCTTCCAGATTGTAAATAGATGCCACGTAATCAATTAATCCATAAGTCCATAAAAAAGTAAAAGATACAAAAAAATAATACTTCAAAATGTTCTGAAGTCAAATATTAAAAAAAAACATTAGGTTAAATGTTGAACTTTTGTGTATTCAATGTATTGTAACCCCCTTTCATTTATCTTTTACGGTAAATGCATTCGGGGAAATAGTATGCTATATTTTCATGCTTGTATTTTTATAAAAAATATTATAAAAAAATCATTGTACGATAAAATTTAGGTAGAGTTTGAGAAATAATTGTATTAGGTTTTATGAATAGAATCATACCTAAGGACAAATTATTTATAGTGGTGTAGTCCTAGATAAAGGAATTACATACAATGTCTATACAAAATATTTGGAGATATATCGCGTGGGTTTCAGCCTTGGATGTGTGAGTTTAATTTGCTGAAGAAACAGAAGAGGAATGAGCCGCCGGTTGGGGCAGAAGCTTCCGGCTTTGTTTGATCCAAGTAAACCGGGAGACTAGTACAGAAAACCAAGAACAAAACCGGAGATCGAATTAGTTTATATTTGGACTAGGTTGAACCGGAAAATCAAATTATAAAAACAAGGGTTCATGGCCGGTATGTTACAACGGTCGAATTCATTTTGTTAGCTTCCGAGATCAAATTCTTGTAATACTCTTCGTTCCAGTGGAAATCATAAGGTTTTGATCGAATCAGTAAAATCATTCACCGCAAATATTAAAATATATTCCGCTCTAATATTTTTCTGATTAATCATTCTCATTAATTTGGGTCCCACCGTACATAAATTTGCCCTTTGCACAAACTTGACAATATATATGCATGATACATACTGTTGTTTTGGGATACGTACTATATAATATGTACTGTCCCTCTACGTGCATGGAAAAGAAAAATCTAAATAATTTACACATGTCCCTTGTATCCTTAAATTACACACCAATTTTTTTAATCAATCACTCTAGAAAATTTCATTTTAATGAAGATTTATTGGAATAAAGGGGAATGGAGTTATAACTTATAACACAGATAACAAATGAACCGTCTAGCATTTAAATCACCTTCTTAAATTTAAATAATTCACGGGTAATAAGACCGTGGTTATACATTGTGTTTTTATAAACATATTCTATTCATCATGTTTTTATTTATTTTATGTAATTGTTCTACGGATATATACTACAGTTTGGATCTGTTGATAACCAGCATCGGTGATGGAGCTTCATCAGAAACAATCGCATCAAGAACCTCTTTTAGAAGAATCTCCCTCATCCGACTGTACACGTGTCCATCCCACCCTCGCCGCACCAGATCCTCACCCAATCTAACGGCGGCTTCCACCGTCTCCGACGCGCTATCGTGCACCGAGTCCACGATCCCCTTCTCGGCCGCCTCCACCGCCGTCAACTTTGCCGCCGTCAACACCACGTCTCTCCTCGCCGCTGGCGATCCGATCTTCAGCCGGACAAGGGCCATGAGCCACGCCGGAATCGTGAGGCCGATGTCGAGCTCGCTCATGTAGAGGAAACCCCTGTCGCGGCGCATGAGGACGTAGTCGTGGCTCATGACGAGTAAAAATCCGGCGGCGGAGGAGTGGCCGGTGACGGCGGCGATCGTTGGCATCGGGAGGGAGATGAGATCGGCGAAGAGTGATCGGAGTTTGGCGTCCATGACGGGGACAAGGTGAGGGTGAGATTTGGCTTGGTCGATGTCGTAGCCATTAGAGAAGAATTTGCCTGTTGCGGTTGTGATGAGGACAGATCGCGAAGCCGACGGGTCAGACCGGACACGACGGACGGCGGAGTGGATGTCGTCGATCACATCGTGGCTGAGACGCCGGTGAGCGTTAGCATGAAAACGCTCCCTCGCTTTTCCAATGTGCACATGTCCCTTGTACCGCCGGTGAGCGTTAGCATGAAAACGCTCCCTCGCTTTTCCAATGTGCACATGTCCCTTGTCTTCGTAAACTACGCACAAGAAAATAGTATATGATATACAACCATGCTATCGTTCCAAAATATATATTACAAATTCGTGCGAGTCTAATTTGTTGGATGGTTGAATATTAATTTGAATGACGAAATAGAAAAAAAAAAAGAACGTGTAAAAAAATTACCAAAAAGAATAAACAACAAATTTGCAAAAAGGACGAAATATGGTAAAAAAAAAACGTGTGATTAAATTCTGTAATGCTGTATCTCAAAATTTTAGTATCAATATCATGGGAAATTATTCTTTTAATCTTTTTCTTTTTGTCTTCTTCCCATTTTAGAATTCCTAATTTAACTCTTATCTCAAACACTAATATTAAATTTTACCATAATCTCTAGACCGTAAACACTAAATCAAAATTAAATCCTGAAATCGAAATTAATTCTAAATCCTAAACCTTGAATTAACCATTAAACTTTAGATTTTTAGATTTCTTATTGTTTTCTAGTTTAGAATTCAGAGTTTAGGATTTAAATATTAAAGTTTAGATTTTAATGTTAAATTAGAGATAGTAAAATAAGAAAAAAAAATTGAAAAGAGAGATAAAAAAAAGTGCATAGTGATCCATGAAGAGTGCAACAACAACAACATTACTTCATTCCCAAGTTCATTTGGGGTCGACCGTCTGAAGAGTAAGTAAGGAAATATTTAGTTTAAAGTTTTGGATATAACATTATTCAAATTGAAAATGAAATTCAACAAGATATACAAATCGACGTGTGTTACTCGAGAAACTCACAAAAATATGTGTGTGATAAATGCATTGTAAAAGTTGATTGACATTCAAAAATAGCCTGCTAATAGTCTTTTACCATTCAACTACTCAGAGACCTCTTTAATATATTTGACTAGCACTAATATTTAAAAAATAATTTGTTTAGAGTTTTTGAATTTTAAATAACAAAGATATATTGAAATATGGAGATAAACTTTTCTATTTTTTTTATTAGAAGGAAGAATAAGTATTTAAATAAAAATTACGATAGCAAACTAATGAAAAGCAACAAAGAAGAGGTATAATTCAAATATAAGATAATATCTCCTAATAAGATGATATATCGTAATATCCCCTAACATGGAAGTGAATGATTGAACTTTCATGTTTGAGATGTATAACTCAAATACATATTGAATAAAGAAAAGAAAAAGCAATACAATCCAATAACTCTATTAATTTATGGTTGAAACGATTAAAATCTAAAATGATGAATTAAACCTCCACGATATAGACGAAGAATCAAAATGTCCACGAATTAAACAATTGATAAAGCCTCAACGGGTCTGTAAGACATGTTTTTTTAATATCGTGGGGAAACCCCAACTATTACCTTTCGAACGCGGTGGTTGGATAAACCACATTCACGTGCACGAGTCTACGATACAAACGTATGAGGTAAATCAGTCGTAACTGATGGACGACAAGTGAGTGGATAAGAAATCGAAACGGCATCCTTTGGGGACTGACATGGGGATTTTCCGTAAGACATGTTCAATATATATAATGAGTAATGTTAGGATTAGAGATGCCGAACGCAAAGGTAAAGAAATTTACGATCGTAAGAAAACATGAAAGTACGATGAAATTGATGAAACTTTGTGAAATGACTTTTTTTAGAATTGATATTTGGGTGAAATGAAAAAAAAAATAAATAGATAAGATTGAGTTTAAAACAATTAAGAAAAAAATGAACCATGTTGAAATATCAATATAAACTTTCTTCGGATAATGGGATTTGAATTATTTATCTTTCTTCTATTTTTCATTAGTTTGTTATGATACTTTGTATTTAAAGACCTTTTTAATTAATGGTTTTAATAAGAAGATAAAAAAAAAATCTTATCTCGATATTTCAATAAGATTCCAAAAACGAAAACGAAGATCTTCGTACGGATGCAAACAAAAGTACGAACCATGCAAACACGTAGATCTTTGTATTGATGCAACATCAGCAAAACTTCGAAACATAACACAAAGATAACGCAAAGACAAAACACTAGATTTGATCGGAGAAGAAAAAGGAGATTTTTTTTTAAAAAAATAAATGTATATGTTGGTATACCACAAAAATTGGTGAGAACCATTCGTTACAAAAAGAAAAAAAATAAATAACCAATAAAGTTTTTCTTTTTCTTATTATGCTCAATCTTATTTAATTAATCAAATTACTTATCATAATTCTATTAGAGGTCCAATCTGTTGTATTTAATTAAACAAATTCCATTTTTTTTCTCTTTGTTTATGTTCCTTAAACAAAAAAAATATCATGTAAAGTGGAAGAAATTACTAAAAGAGGTCGGAAAACTCCACATATATGAAATCCATGTTGTTTAGAACGAAAATGCTATTAGTATTTAAGATAAATTTTGAATATATATATATATATATATATAATGTGTTAGGTAAATTCTAATTATCACGGAAGAGTCCAAACTATCTCATGGACCAAAAAGCTGCTAATTAAAGAAAATTAAACAAATTTATTTTTGTGTTCATATGTTTTCTTTGCAATTGATCAACGGTTTCTTTGTACAAGTGTAAGTGTGTGTGTGTATATATATATATTTTCCTGTATGCAATCAATCAATCAAAATCAACTCTACTTTGAATTCCACTATATATTCTACAAGTTTTTTTTTTTGTTTGTTTCATCAAAATGGCTTCTTGAGATACTTGAAATCCATGGAAGAATCAACACATCCAACTTCCAGCTTGCCCACGTGTGGATTCATCATCTTCAGCAACTCCGTGGCTTTCTCCTTTGTCCCCCCTCGACACCCTACTTGCAACACCACCAGCAGCTTCTGAAACGCTCCCATTCTCACCGCTTCTTCTATCGCAGTCGCTGCGTTTTCCGTCTTGCAAAGCTTCCATATCACAGACACCGAGCTCATCGTCGCTAACTCTGAGATCTTCGGCATCTTCTTCACTAGCAGTGGCATCACCAACGCGTTTTTTCCTATTTCCTCTTTCCACACCCTACTTGCAACACCACCAGCAGCTTCTGAAACGCTCCCATTCTCACCGCTTCTTCTATCGCAGTCGCTGCGTTTTCCGTCTTGCAAAGCTTCCATATCACAGACACCGAGCTCATCGTCGCTAACTCTGAGATCTTCGGCATCTTCTTCACTAGCAGTGGCATCACCAACGCGTTTTTTCCTATTTCCTCTTTCCCCTCTCGCGTTTCGCAAA